CAGGTCTTTGCACATTTCATTATAATACTTTGTTCTGTCCTTTGAAATTTTCTGTTCAGCTTTCACTTTACCATTTCTTCTATTCATGTCATTCAGTGAATTTACTTAATAATCTCTTTTAGCATGGTCTTTGTAACTCCTACCAAATGATTGGGTGTGACCATGCAAATAGGGTGTACAGCACTGCAATGCAGGGTTGGTTCGTTCTGCCATTCACCTAGTTTTACAAGGAAGCATAAACCCATGATCCAGAGCCATAAGCAGATCATGAGATTCCCTGCCTGGAAAAGCAGTAGAAGCAGAGGCAGCAGTGGAGTCAGCAACATGAAGAGACAGAGCAGCTGAGGGTTCCTGGTCCATGTACTCAATAAAGGGGAGGGTCTACATGCAGGAGGCCAGCTTACAAAATGTATCCTTTGGGCATTCACAGACAGCACTAAGGGAGCTCTGTAACATTTGCAAGGCAGAAGCCAAAGGGGCCACACCGCTAAGAGGCTGAAGATAAGAGGCTACTTGCAGTATGGCAGGGAAGAGGCATTCTTCAGAGTTGCTTCTGATCTTGATTTGTACCCTGTTTACATCCTTAATAAACGCCATAATCGAGAGTATTATCTGTGAGTTCTGTGTAACCATTGCAACAGATTATTGAATCCAGCAGAGAGGAAAGAATATTGTGGGAGGGAACACTGGTGTCAAAAGAGGATAGCAAGGTTGAAGGGTAGAGGCATGCCTAACTTCTGCTTCATAGGAATCAGCCTGGGGCTGGTTCTGAGTTTGATTTTCCCTCCTTCTTACGAAATCAGAGGAAGTCAGACACGGCCTCCCTGACACCACTTTCTTTTTTAATGTTTTATTGTGAATTATTTGATAGTTTACATGGGAGAACATTGATAGTTTCCATGGGAGTTTACATGGGAGAACATCATCCTATCGTATATCGTTACATTGCCATGGTTACAATCCCCTCCATGCATCATCAACCAACCAAAGGGTATTCCCTGCAAGCCTGCCCCCTAGTCGTCAGAACACAGCCCCTCTCCCTCTCTGGGTCCAGAGTTCCCAGCTGCTCCATCTCTCCACATCATTGTCTCTGCCTCCATCTCTGGCGTCACTGTTTCTCTGGGTAGGGTCCAGCACTCCACTTGTCTTCCTTGATGGTCTCAGGGACCTCCGCTCCTGGACTGCAAAGTCAATCACTCCTTTTCTTTTGCTACAAAACGTCTACCTTTACATTTCCAACCCTCGCA